AGTGCGCATGAATTACTAACAGGTTACTACACACTAAACTTAGTAAGAAATACTGAGTGGTTTGAATGATAACGATGTGCAGAGTATGTACGAAAAAGTAGAAGTACATACACTAATAAAAGTAGTAGTCACATGACACTATAAAATAAGAGACTTTAACAAAAAATATCATGTGTGATTTTGTGTACAATAATGTGTCAAGTAAACACCCTTGTTAATGCTATGAATCATAGAAATGAATAAAATAAATTTATTCATCTTGCTGTTATTCAACTATACACTTACTCCTTTTCCTCATGATAATGAAAGTAACATCTTAAAGTAAAAGTAAAAAGATACCCCTCTGGTATCCTCAATTAATAATAATTAAATAATTAATATAATCAACTGCACGTACATAAAAGCAAAGGTAATCATCGTAGGAGATTGGTAAGAAAATTTGGTGGGGAGGGGAGGGAGGTACACCCCTTTTAGTGAGTGCACGGCGATACAGTGAGTATGCCCAGAAAGTATGTCTACTCCAGGTGGGGGAGGAAGGGTACTAGTGAGTGTACAGCGACACAGTAATCCGAGTGATGTGGATTTGTTATGACGGGCTACTATGTCGTATTAACTATACTTAGGAATATTAGTATCATAAAAGTAATAAGTTGAATCAGAAATTATTTAACAAACTTATTAATCTTACTAATATATAAAGCAGAAGCGCTAAAACCGTTGTAATCGTTAACCGCGAAAACTACTAAACCGATTATGTTGAAATTTTGCACACTGATTCATGATACTTCCTAGATAGTTTTAGCATAGTTTTATCTTAAAAAATTTAATAACAATAGCAATAAATAAGCTCAAAGTTTTGCAAAAATATGCCAGCTTTTCTCTTTAGTTCAGTAAAATCCGCTAGGTGGCGTCGACATAAAATCGAAGCTACCTGCAACATAATTAAATAAGTGTGGTTATAATAGGCCGGAGCGTCTCGATAGTGATGTAGTCGAGCTTCGGCAGTTCAACGAGCTGTATAGAGAATGCTGATGATAGTCTTGCAGCTGGGTATCCCGGTTACGGACGACACTCTTCTCTAAGGGGGAAGGGACCTAGGTGTCCATTCACCCTGAATCTCGACGAGTGCGATAAAAAAAAAAAAAATTAATTCCAACCGATGCCGTCTCTGCCACAATACCAGGAGACATATCTAGCCAGAGCACAATCTGCACCAACTCTTCAGAGTTGTGTGGCAGTCCCACCATCCCACCTGGTGCAGTTAGAGAATTTGTGGCTACAAATGTAAGCAAGGGAAAACAGCTCTGAGGGGCACGGGCAGCCACAACGGCTACCTTCTTGGTCGTCGCGTCCCCAACGCGCTTACCCACATGTTCCCGTCTAACGATGAGCGGTTGGTTATCCGGGGAACGACCCGAGACGAGATATTCTTTGGTCAGCAGCGTACCTTCCTCCATCACAGTCTCCGTACATCGAGACTCCCAGGGTAAGAATCAAGCAACCGTAGCCAGCTCTTCATCATCAGGAATAAGAATAGCCTGGAAGTTTCACCACTGGCGCTTTTTAGGGCCATTATAAGTATTTACGTTCCCTACTTAACCATCAATTTCATCGGTTCTTTTTAGGATCCACCTAAGTGTAAACTACCTTGCCAACAAATACATTTTTATTACCATTTCCGGAAGCGATTCGTCGACTAAAAGACTATATTAACTAAAGACGGGCACTATTAAACCAAGTCAGCCATTCACTAGCAGACGTCACCTGCAGAGTTGTTCTTCGCAAGGCTGGAAAATCCGGTGACCGACGACCCTATACTACCCTCTCGACTCTAAGCATTCAACCAGGAATCACTGATCTTCTCCAATGTCTGCGTTGAGCAAACCTATAACAGCTATGTAGGAAAAAAAACTTGAGCCAACGGGACAGCCTCCACTGGACAAGTATCACTAACCAATCTCCCCATCTAAGATCATCAAAACAACTGAATCTGCAACTAAAAAAGGTGCTTTAGACACCAACGTCTTCGACGTTATACCGGGAGACGTTGGGAAAGAGCACTAAAACTAGCCCTCAAGCTTCGGACTTTGTAATTTTTCTCCCAATCAGTCTAGGTCTTCAACAGCAAGCCGGAGAAGATCACCCTGAGGTATCCAGGCAGTCACAATTGTTGTTAACTGCAGTCAAGAAAGAGTTAACTTAAAAAGCTCACTGGTCTTTTTTAGGGCCATCGGACGTCGAACTACCTTGCCAACAAATATATTAGAACTTAACAAAGTTGACAGAAAACACACTTTAGGGGTCACACAAATTTTAAGCATGCCAAATGTCGCAAGAGGGTGAATCGGAAGAAAAACTTCAAGTGTATCTAATAAATACAATTTTACTTAGGCGTCAAGAAACTGACGCAGAAAATTTATCGAGATTG